ATATATATTTGAAGTAAAACATTTACTGGTACATTTTAGACATATATAATGATAATATTCATCATAGGGAATTTGTACCTGTACATGATATATCTTCCTTCTTTTTTTCTCCTTCCTCCTCCCTTCAACCCTCTCTCCCTCATTTATAAAAGCTTTGTTTCCATGTTTTCTTCTATTTTTTGTTTTTCATTTCCTTTTATTTCCTCCTCCCCTCTCCTTTGTTCCCCTTCTCATTTGAACATTTTTTTTTCCCATTTCAAACATCCATTATACATTTTAGTCCTTATTTCCACTTTTGGTTTCTCACATTGGAGAAACAGGTGTTTACACATGTGTGTCTAATTTGTTTCACATAAGAATATGGTCTTAAGGTGCCTCCTTTTAGCTTATCCTCCTTTATGGCAGACTAGTACTCCATTGTATAAAAAAATCTCACATCTCCTTTATCCATTTGTTGATTTATGGGCTTTTGGGCTGTTTCAAATTTGGCTATTTAAAACCATGATAGCTATAAACATGGGTGTGTATATGTCACTGTGGTAGGATGCTTTTAATTCTTTCAGGAAGATACCAAAAAGTGGAATAGCTGAGTCAAGTGGAACCTCTAGTTTTAGTTTTCTGAGGACTCTCCACACTGATTTCCACAGTGGTTGTCCCAGTCTTCACTTCCATCACAGTGGAGAAGGGTTTCTTTTTCGCCACTGCCCCACTAGCATTTGTTATTGGTTGATTTCTTGATAGCAGCCATTCCTTCTGAGTGAGGTGGAATGTCAACATTGTTTTAATTTGCATTTCTCAAATAACCAGTGACGTGGAACATTTTTCATATATTTATTTGCTGTCTCTCCTTCTTCATCTGAGAAGTGTCTGTTTGTTGAAGATGCCCATTTTTGGATTCGGTCTTTACATTTGGGGAGGTCTGATTTTTTTGAGTTCTTTATATATTCTAGATATTAGTCCTTTGTCTGAGAAACAGGTGGCAAAAAAATCTCCCATGGTGTGGGTTGTCTCTTCACTCTGTTGGTGATTATTCTGCTGTGCAAAAGCTTTCTAAAATGAGATCCTTTTTGTTGGTTTTCTGTGATAATTCCTGTGCAATCAGGGCTTTGTTCAAGAAGTCTTTGCCTATTTCAATATCTTGGAGAGTTCTACCCATCTTATCTTCTAGCAGATTAAGTGTTTCTATTTTAATATTTATGTCGTTGATCCATTTTGATTTTAGTTTAGTTCATGGTGAAAGATAGGCTGAATTAGAGAAAACAATCCTAAAATTTGTTTGGAACCAAAAAGGACGTAGAATAGCAAAAGCAATTCTGGGTAACAAAGGAAAAGCAGAGGGGCATCACAATCCTTGAGGTGAAATTATACTACAAAGCCACTGAGATAAAAACAGAATGGTACTGGCAAAAAACATACCTGAGGAATAATGGAACAGATAAGAAGATGCAGAAATACCTCCAGACACAATTAGTCATCTTATCTTTGATAAAGGAGCCAAACACAGTTCCTGGAAGAAGGATAGCCTCTTCTACAAATAGTGCTGGAAAAACTGCTTTTCCACTTGTTGAAGATTAAAATGATGTATTATTTTTTGAAAAATTTGCTAAAAGACTGCAAAAGTTAAGTTGATGATGTAATGCATATGTTAATTGGATTGATTTGGTCATTCCACACTGTTTAGATACTTTAAGACCTCATGTTGAACACCAAAAATATATGCAACTTTTGTCAATTGAAAAAAAGAAAAGGTAAAGTTTAAAAATAGATTAGTAGAAAATGCAGAAACCAAATACAGCTTTGAGGGAGAACTGAATGGACTTGGAGGAAAAAATACTTTATGTGTCATAGGATGAATGTGGAACGTGGATGTGGCAATGAAAGTTGAGAAACACTGATATAGGAGAGGACACTTGTATGTCCTTTGGGTACATTTTTCCTGGACTCGTTCCTGGACTATGTACCATTTTAGTGTTCCATAGTACTATGGGCCCCACTTCAGATATGGGAAGTTCAAATGTCTCCAGACAGTGACAGATGTTCATTTGGGGGAACAAATCCA